TTACAAAAAAGTTTAATACACAGTACACACTACTATTTTCTTCAGTTCAGTTCACTACTGGTAAGTTCGTGGGACATTTTTGTAAATTACTAATCGTTCTAGTTTAGTCTCGTAACTAAAAATTTTTTTCAGTGTTTGAAGTAAGTTTTCATGGTTAAGATATTAGTAATATAGCTACGAGTACTTTAAATAAATTAAGAATAACGAAATGTATAATAAACTTAATTTACCTAAAGTACGTCACGTAAAGTCAAGTAATTTTAACCTTTGACACCTACAAAAGGCATAATTTCATCCTGACATAATAAACATTCTAATTAACATCCTCTCTATTCTTGCATATTTTAACCTGTAAACATCAAAACCCTTTGTAAATTAAGAAGGGTGTCATTACTTACCCTTTACGGGATTTTGTTTCATTATCAAATATCTTGCCAATTTTTGACGGTCAAAATACCTGTCCTGTTTATCTATAAAGGATTTTCCTTATGAAGTTACTATTAAGAGTTAAGTTTTTCAAAGAATTGTTGTCCTTTGTTATCTGTATTTTTGGATAGCATTAAAATTTTGTAACTCTATTACTACATTTTTAATTTGTACCATACTTTTTCTTATTTTCTAGCTTCTTATTTTGTGTTTACGGTACTCTGTTGACCCCAACCAATCCACTGCGCCCTAATTGCAGTCCCCTCGCCAAAGCCAGGTTGATCCTTGTACAGGCGTTAAGGCCCGCCTTCCATCAATGCGGAGCTGTGTGGAGCGGAGAAGAAATGTGGGATAATAATCTGCTTGGTAATTTAAAACACATCCCTGCTCCGCCTTGGTGGAAACAGGGGCTAAGCACAACAAAGGACATCCCATAGATAAGGTCTGAAGCTCACGCTCGATTCTTTCTCTGTCTCTTCTCCAATGACGTCATATTATAGTCTGCAATGGCCAACCAGTAAGGCTGGGTTGCACCATCTTACTTTAACTATATCAAACGTCAAAAGTCTGTCAAACTCCATTAAAAACACCGGTTATGGTTAAAGTTACTGGTGGTACAACTCAGAAGGACATCCCATAGATAAACCATGGTTCGAACCTCACGCTCGATTCTTTCACCGTTTGTCCTACTCCAATGACGTCATAGTCTGCGATGGCCAACCACTAAGTATAGTTTGTGTCAGTTCAGAAACAAACTAAATACATTAACTAAGGCAGAACCACCACTTTCCTCATCTGAAAATAGCCGCAAATAAACTTGTGAATAATCAAGTAATTGGCAAGTTATGAAACAAGCTGTTTAACTATTTAAGTCCGCTTGTTTACAAGAGAATATTCTTGCCGTAGCCTTCGGTTATCTCAATTGAAGCGCCTTCGTTTGACCACGAATTATTATTACACGGCCATTTAAATTGCTAAGTGCAAGAATTGTAATAAGTACTCGTATATTTATTTAATTAATACAGTATATTATAGCAGAACAATAGGTATCCATAAGAACAAAGTTAAGGTTTACGGTAAAAGAAATTCATCAAATGCATGACACAATCTAGCTGAGCGGTCTTGTCACTAGGGAGCGGTCAATTCACATATTTTTAGTCAGTCAATTTCAGGGTAAAGATGAAACTTCACATGTGCAAAGCCAACGACAACAGCCATTCATGTAATACAATTGCAAAAATATTTTTCTGAAAACCGCATCAACATCAGTTCAGTCAAACGCAAGATACGAGTCAAACTGAAAACCTTATTTTTAAATAAACTTTTTAAGTCAGTTAAAAAGTATAAACACACATGTCACATCTAGTTTAAACTCTACATTAACGCTGCCCTGCAGGCTCTATGCCTATAACAAACAAAATACTAGTCCAGCCCTCAAAGGCAAGCAGCAAAAGCCCAAATGCCTCAAATATTTCGACGTCCGCCATCAAAACGTATAATTTAGCTTTGAAACCTTTCTCTCTTACCGCGAATTCGAATACAATTTCGTTAATGATGTTTCATAATTTGTTTTGTTTCGACGTTTATTAATGCTTAATTATTGGATTCCAATTTATCTGTGTTAACGGTTAATGATTTCAACAGAACGTAATAAATACTCTATGGTAACATTTTGACTTGTTAGGTAATATTATTATGCGGTATGCATGATTTAATTGGGTTATCTAATATTCGTGGATTTGAACAATAACAAATTAATGAGAGATTATGTTTGAGAGCAGCTTATAGGCAAAGCCTACCTGGTAAACCGTGCTTTATTGGTGGTTTTATACACTTATGTTTCACGTTAAATAAATTTTGAATATGAAATTTGAATTTTACTACAAAAAGTAATTCAGCCATTGTACAGTCTACAAAATGAACGATAGCCTTATGGATAAGCATTTTAAGCTAAACACTGTGGTTGTTATGACGTTGTAACAGATGCTATTAAAATTCTTGATTTCGTAGCAAAACCGTAGCACCGTAGCGAAGTATGCAAGTTCGTACTATGCAAGTACGTAGTATAAAAAGTACAAAATGATACTGATGGTACAAAAAGTACTTAGTTTCCCTATAATGGTATGCACATTTTTCGAGTGTTGGCAAATTATCTTTCGTGTCGTTTATTTAGTGTTGGCCATCTGTATGCCTAATCCTTACCACAAATTCAAAGCTGAAGGTCATTTCTTATAGAAAATTGAAATCAACTTAAACGTTACGGACTTACGAAGATTCAGGACAGTTTCCTATTTCCCCAGGGAACCGACGATTCAATTTCACAACCACTGTTCAGAGTGGAAAGCGAATCTTTAACAGGAAATGGAAGTCTGTGGAGATATTCGACACCGTATAAAATACAATTTAATCTCGTTCTATACATTATACGAATAGATGCCTACCCTTAATTTAATAGAAATTGTGATTATGTTCTGGTTGCAAAAACCGGCCATGTGCGATCGATCTCGCTTACGAAGGGTTCCGTATTATTCCTATATGTATGTATATTCCTAAGTCGTACCTAATCTCAATCCTACTTCCTACTAATATTATAAATGCAAAAGTTTGGATGTCTGGATGTCTGGATATCTGGATGTTTGTTACTCTTTCACGCAAAAATTTTACAGTATTATTGTTTAAAACCCATATTTCATATAGGCTATAATTTATGACGATAGGTATGTGACAATTTTCAATAAATAAATAAGACGTGTCTAAAAAGCGCCATCATTGGTTAAAATCTACAGCGCTGCACAAACTACTGTTTTTGACATGACTAAACAACTGATTTTACGAACTAAGGGGTAAAACGAGGTCCACGCGTACGAAGTCGCGAGCGGCCGCTAGATGATTATGATTTTTGTTAGGGGTAGACGTCGCCTTACAATAATGTCATCATATTTTTGCACTCGTGCAACTTGCGGACCGCCCATAGCAGACTTGATCTGTCTATCTTTTGTATTGGTCCTTGCACCACAGAGCGCACTATAGAGTCTCTGCTTCATATCGAGTCTTTTCCGGAGAATAACTCTCCTATTATCGTTACTAAAATCGACCAATCACCTACAAATAAACTGACTAAAAGCTAACCTTATATTGCACATAAAACTCAACAATTTAGAGAACTAAGCGAATTTTTTTTATATAAAAATTTAGGGGCAAAGAGAAGCAAACTGGCAACTCTAATTTTATCAGCCAGATCACGTATTCTAAACTTTTGTCATATTAATATCTAAATGAAAAGTTAGCTTCAGTATTGTCGCGCATGTTTGAGAATTTTAATAAACTCGACACTTTCTATATTATGGTAAAAGTATAACTAAATGCTCGTAAATATTAAACAAAATTGCTTCTGAGAATGCAAAAGTTTGGTCATTTGTTTCTATCGTGTGGGTTGTAAAATCGTAGGTTGTAACTTTATTATAAGGCACTTTATTAAGCTGTAGTGGTCGTATCAATAACTGAACATGTCAGTCGGATAACAACTTCAGCTTAGAGAAAGTACCTACCTACCTAACATTAGTTTTTGACGTAGGTAAGTAGGTAATTATATGGTCAATCTTCATTGATAAATTTGTATAACTATTCCTAATGATCGAGATGCCGTATAATACATTCTACACCAAGTGATTCAGGACTATTATCAGTGTTATTTACTAGAAAAGCTGTCTATTATTTATTTATAAAAAAAAATAATATTAATCCGTTCATAAAATCACTCATCCTAAAAATAAAGCTGCCTAATGAAGTCGTAATAACTCATATTCCTGCCCCCCACTGCACCTTAGAACAAAGACGATTATATCTGGCTCTGCCAAGCACCGCCGCAGACGCCACACCTGTTTAATTAAATTGGAATTAATTAAGAAAGCTTCATTAAAATGTTATCTACACCAACCTAAACCTAACCTTCTATGTATGAAATGTATGTACTTTAAAAAGCAATTGCATTAGTTCACGGTCAACTCTTATACCAATTGCAATTACCTAAACAGACCTATGTCGTGGTACCTATAAAACATCGTAAAAAATATTGTACCAATTTGATCGACCTACATAGGATATCACGTTTTATTACTTATCCCAAAATACTAAGAAATTGTATTACTTCATCCCTGGAAGGGTCTGTCGCATTTTAATCTTCTTCCAAGGCGCTGACTCAATCTAAATTCCCTAAATTCCGAAAATATTAAGACTCCGCGAAATACCGCTTCTGTTCTACCTTTAGTACAAAACAACATAGAATTTATATTGTTTGCTTTTCTCGGACTCGGTCCATTATATTGACCCTTTGCAGCCACAACTGCGGATAAAACACCCCCATTAAGGAGATAAATTCTCAACAACATGGGGGGTGTCTTATAACTAGTGTTAGTACCCACTTATGTTGAAAAGTTTCTAGAGAAGTCTCCGAAGGATATATCATACTATAATAGACTTTAGCACTCTTATTTAAAGGGCTATAGAGCCGTGAACCCTATCCGTGTCCCTTACTAAATTTAGACAACAAATGTAGAGTCTGCCGTAATTAGGGTTACCAGATGAAAAAATCAAAAGTCCGGAGAAAAGGCCTGATTTCCATGGAAAAGTCCTGAGATTTTCTACAGATGAGAATTTTCTCTCAAAAACGTATTATTATCGTTGTATACGCGTTTTACGCGACGCGTTGCAAGCTTGTATGTACATCGCACTCAAAACAGCGGGGTGGAGGGAGGAGGGGGGCGCCCGTCGCCCCGCAGCGCGGTTGCCGCTCGCTCGGTCGGTCACTCAGTCAGTTCGTCTTGCGCCATTGCGAAGGTTGGATTACGCTTCATTGAGTGTCACCACGGGACGGGCGAGCGAGCGAGAATCGGAGCTGTTGGATGGATTATCCATCCATCATGGATACGAGTTAAAATGTCTTCAAGTACCAAACGACCACGATACGTGTGTACATTCACAGATACTTTAAAACAAAGATTTCCGATTATGAAAGATGGAAGAGAACCTACCGAAGTGTTTTGTTCAATATGTAACAATCATTTTTCAATTAAGTTCAAGGGAGGTGCTGATATTGAAAAACATATCCTAACGGAAAAACATAAAAAAAATAGTCTGACTGTTTCAAGTAACACCAAAATCGACTCTTTATTTCAACCACAAAGTTCTGGACTGACAGACCAAATATCCGCCGCTGAAGCCACTTTAGCTTTCCACACAGTGAAACATCACCAGTCATTTAAATCTATGGATTGCACCAGCCAACTGGTTAAGGCTATATTTGCCGATTCCAACACTGCGAAGAGTATTTCTTGTGCACGAACGAAGACTGAGGCCATTGTAACGGGCGTGATATCTCCGTGGGTAATTGAACAGGTACAAGTCTCATTACAAAATGTCAACTTCTTGGGCGTTTCCACAGATGCAAGTAATCACGGTGCTGAAAAAATATTTCCTATTATGATACAATTCTTCGACTGGCAAGAAGGAATTAAAACCAAACTGCTGGATGTGCTGAGCACACCCAATGAAAATGCTAACACTATAACAGAGATAATTAAAACAAGCTTGCAAAAGTACGACTTGTTGATGAAATGTGTATCATTTACAGCAGACAACGCTAATGTTAATTTTGGCGGAGTAAATCGGCAACCGGGACAAAATGTTTGGACTAATTTAAAAAACTTTCTGGACAAAGATATCGTAGGAGTTGGGTGCCCAGCGCACATACTACACAATTGTATTCAACATGGCACTGATAATCTGCATATTGATATAGAATCTGTAGTAATGAAGCTGTTTAATTATTTTTCCGTATACACCGTACGCACGGAGGCGTTGAAGGATATCAGCGAATATATAGACGTCAATTATCAGAAACTATTGTTTCATAGCAAGACCCGATGGCTTAGTCTGTTTCCAGCGATCGAAAGAATATTGAAGATGTATGAACCGTTGAAGCAGTACTTTTTATCTACTCCTGGTGTACCAATTACTTTGAAGAACTTTTTTGAAAATGAACTCAGCGAAGTTTATTTATTTCTTGCTCACTCATTGATGTCAATATTTCAGACGAAAATTGAAGACATCGAAAAAGAAAACAATTCTGTTTTAGATATTAAAAGAATCCTCGAATCCACACATGAAATTTTAGTTGCACGAGCGAACGCAAACTTCATGCCACTTAAAGTGCGAGAGTTGCTGGCTAAGTGCACTGCGGAAAACCAAGAAGTTTTCAAGCATGACCTTAAAAATATGTATAAGACTTGCGTAGAATATCTGATCAAGTGGATGACGCCTTTAGATGATTTCAAAGTCTTTAATTGGTTGATGCTGAAAAAGGGCCAAATGATCGACTTTGATCAGATTGCTTTATCAATTCATTATCTAAATGGAAAAGGAATACACATAGATGATGTGAAGTTATTCGATGAAATTGCATCTCTGAATAGTTTTTTGACAAAACAGGAAGAAGCATTTTTTGACGTAATGCTTCATGCGTTGTGGGCAAACATTTTCAAGACAATAGGTATTTCACGATTGCCAGAGATACTGCGTATTTGTCAATATATATTTGCAATAACAGCTCAAAATGCAAACGTAGAAAGAGTTTTTTCTATCATGGGAGCTCAATGGTCGAAAGAAAGAAACCGACTAAACGTGTCTTCAATTCGAGCTCTACTTTTAGTTCAATATAACTTGAAGAGTTTAACTTGTGAGGCATTTTATAAATCAATAATCAAAGAAAAGAATTTACTTAAAAAAGTTTCTTCAAATATTAAATACGACAAAACTAATTAAGTACCTATTTGGATAAATAAGTATTGATTTTACCTGCAAATGTTAGTAACATTATTTTTAAGGATGATTATTGAAGATGATTATTTTTAGTTTGTTTTACTTTGATAAATAAGGATTGATTTTAACTGCAACTGCAATTGTTACCAAAAGAAGATTGTCTTTAGTTCGTTTTACTTCGATAAATAAGTATTGATTTAACTGCAATTGTTACCAAAAGAAGATTATTTTAAGTTTGTTTTAAATTAATACATAAGTATTGATTTTAACTGCAATTGTTACCAAAAGAAGATTATTTTAAGTTTGTTTTAAATTAATACATAAGTATTGATTTTAACTGCAATTGTTACCAAAAGAAGACTGTTTTTAGTTCGTTTTACTTCAATAAATAAGTATTGATTTTAACTGCAATTGTTACCAAAAGAAGATTATTTTAAGTTTGTTTTAAATTAATACATAAGTATTGATTTTAACTGCAATTGTTACCAAAAGAAGATTATTTTTAGTAGTTTAATAAGAGAGATCTTTAAAATGTAACCTGTATTTTATTAAAAATCCTGAGATATCACTAGATTTGCTAAATCCGGCCGGAATCCTGAGAAGAGTCGAAAAATCCTGAAATCTCAGGACAAATCCTGAGATATGGTAACCCTAGCCGTAATAAGTAAAATCGGTAAAATTACNGGCTGTAAATGAATTCATTGGCAACCTTGCAGGGGGTGGCTCAGACCATCATTATGAACAACTTTTTCTATGGGACCAATGCTAATATAAAAAATTCATACAAAAATTGATCACGAAAATAAAGTTTTTCATAATGATGGTCTGAGTAGGGTTGCCAGGCGTCCGTATCTCCCTCACATGTCAATCGTCACCGTCGCGTCGTTAGCGTGTACCTGGTTTTTATCTGATTTTGACAATGATTGTAACAATTTTAAAGGTGTATGTCATTCAATCGACATTTGAGATGAGAGATTGATGCGATACGACCCTAGTGTATTGATTGATTGTATAGTAACAAATAAATAATTATTGAGATATTGTAAATATATGGACTTTTTAATTATTTTTATTATTTGTGGTAGCATTCACTGCTTCTGCATTCATTATAATTGAGGAGTGTCTATTCAAAAGGGGATATTTACATTTTTATTATTTATTAAACTGAGTATGCAGTCTTGTTCTTAGTGCTGAATACTCACTTTCGTCACTTGAATCTTAATCAAAACGGGATATTCTCCCAAGTAAAGCAGCTTCAAATATGAGAACAGGATATTTACACTTACAAAATTAGCCGTAATAAGTAAAATCGGTAAAATTACTCGATAAGATTGCATCTTGGTGATATAATTATAAAATTTTCTCTAACAATATTCTTTCATAATGTAGTATAATTTATTTCATTTAAATAAATGATGCAAAGAAATAATAACCTTCTTTTGCGAATCTCGTTAAATACCTAGTTTATAGGAAAACATGAAATCATTGGTACAACTACCACGCAACTCGTTGTGATTCAGCAAACAAAATGTAATAGGCATGATTTTTATGTGGCTTAATATATTATTCCCCTCAGGAATACTGTTTTCCTCTTAAAATGGACGCACAGGGAAAAAAAAGTGTAAAGGTATTAAACTATCCCAATAAAGTACGAGTAAAAGATTGTTCTCACTTGACGTTTTGTGAGAGTTAATGTTACCTAAATGTTCACAAAAGTACAAGGATGAATCCGAACGCCGAACTTCATGAACTTCAAGTGAAGTTCATGAAGTTCGGCGAATAGAAAACGTGAAAAAAATACAAAAGCAGGTACTTCTACAAACATACTCGCTCGAACAAATATTTGCAACCTTATTGAGGCTATTTACATAACCTTTTTCAATTACAATGAATAAAATATAGCGGGCATTGGAAATCTTATCTCAAACAAAAGTTCACTGCAGAGTTTATAATAGCAACACTTGATTTAACTGAAACTGCTGAAACTCCAACGTCTTGCAAGGATATTCATAACTATACAAATGAAGTGTTCTCCAAATGTAACCTTAAGTCTTGGTAACAAGGCATAAGCGCAGGCGTAAGTGATTATACAGTTTACTTGTACTGCAAGAAGTAAGTAGTTCAACTGCGTACATAACTTATACATAAAGCTATTTGTGTAGAGTTTTGCTGAGGATACAATATTTTCACTAACTACTTACCTAGGTAAAATAAATAAATAACATGACCAAGAAAATCTTACCAAAGTTTCTATTTAGCTAGATTGTCATTGTTACATTTCAAAAGTTCACGCGCGTAATTTATAATGGTTTAAGTAATGAGATAATAAAATTTAGTAACCTAGTTCGTTTTTAAAAACGCAAACGTGTCGTGATCTTTATTGAATCAGAATATTTACTCTGAGATGCGACTCTTAACGCTAAAAATTAAATAACTATATTTACTTTATTTAGAAAAACTTTAACCGCATCCGCCCCCGCCCCCGCTTTTGCGTCCGCCCCTGCATTTAACCCGCTGTAAGCTGCTTGCTTATTGGAAGCACAAACTATATTAAACTCTCTCAGTGATACTGTTATCAATTATTTTGAACTTCACAGTTAGACAACCGAGAGTATTCACGTCTGGCTTGATACAAGAACAATGGGTAACATGACATGTTAACGTATCATTCGGAGTGTAAACCCTGAGGATTATCCTATTAATGCGATGTTTTGAAGCTTAACATACACACTCGTACAGAAGTGAATGACGTGACATTACAATAATATGCGCGTTCCAAGCGATTTCTACCTTCTACTAATATGGCCCTACTTTGTGTCTTAACGTACCTCCCTCATGATTTTTAAAATATTGTACTACAATTCTGGTAATAGCATTTCCGATTCTAGTCGAGGATGTAGCGTGGGCAGGCCTCCCACTAGGTGGACCGAAGATCTGGTGAAGTTCGCGGGAGATGCCTGGATGCGAGTGGCACAGGACCGGTCTTTGTGGAAATCCTTGGGGGTGGCCTTTGTCCAGCAGAGGACGTCTTTCGACTGAAACGAACGAACTTAGTAACTAAAGACAACAAACTCACTCATCCCGCAGATATCGTACAAGGCAGATAATGGACAAATGCGGACTCCATTTGCCCTTAACAATCTAAATGAAATGTGTGTAGTTCAATATTTAATGGTATGTAGAGCTTTTGGTAACCTTACCTGTTTAGTAATGACAATGACGAACAGTATATACGCGTTGAGCAGCAGTCCGATAGCGGAGATGACGGTGACGGCGACGCTCAGAACCAGCGTCACCGCTTCCTCGGCCCGTGTCTCCGTCCCGTTCATCTCCATACGAACTGGCTGGCTGTCTCGCTCGCTCCTCACGCTAGCCGGTGCATGGTCGGTGTCGGTGTGACGTCACCTCACCGCCGATGCCGCGCTCCATCGCATCTTTTGTCGGGATCTGAAAAGAAAAAGCAGGAAATATTATTTTACAGTCGATTAAAACTTCAGGTACTGTAAGTATAACTTGAGTCTATAACTATCCCCTTATCGCCTGCTTTACTATTGACCTACGGAAACATAGATAAAGAAAATAGCCCTACAGTATATTTTATTTAAGTTTTTTTGGTTTTTACAGAGTTAAGTTTGCGTTAGTTGTAAAAATATATGTTTATTGTAAATAAAGATTTTCCTACAGTGAATTATCGAATTGCCGATTGTTCGTCGATAGTTGGAATCCTAACACAAGCTAGTATATTTTAGCTTAGCTGGGGGAGTTAAAGGGACTATTTTCTTAACCTTTCAAAATTCCGAAAGTGCTAATTAATCTGATTTAAATAACGAATGGTAAGTAAATAATAGCACCAAATAAAGTATGCATATTTTAAAGTGTTTTGTTTTCCAAGGAGCACGAGTAACTACGACGTCAAGTAATGGAAGCAATAAACTTATTGAGTATTGAGTCATCCATGCCATGTGCTTTCACTTTATTGACCAAGTTTTCAAACATCGATCACATGTACCTAACCTAACAACCTAACCTTATCATAAGTCCAGCTCCTATTTCACGTGTGCCATGACCTTATCTCATCCCACCCTGATTAATCGGCAGCGCATTGAATAATTTATGTGGCCGGCAGCCAGGTGTGCTTTGTTGTTAAAGCTTATTAATGCCAGTCGGGGCAATCAACCGGCCAGTCTATTGTAACTGAGATCTCGATTGGACATAAAGATATTATTGTAAATTCTAACAGGTTTACGAGGAAGGACTTCATAGGGGTAATTAAAAAAAAAAGTAAAAAAAAAAATACTAGCAAAACAACATAAGATATATGCTACGAGTATTTTTCCGTAGAATTCAGAGCTTCGTAATTCGATGTTGATTTAATTAAGACACCCACTCCTTGATTTGTATATGTCACCGTAATATTGTAAATTCCGTCAGATTACAATATAACGTAGTTAAATTACAATCTAACCTAACGTAACCCACTGTTAGTTTACAATCTCACGCGTTATATTATAAATTGACGGAGTTCACAATTTCGCGTTGACATATATACTCATTGCAATATAAATGATTGACTGATAGCAATAGAGACAGAAAGCTCTCGAGTGCGACCACATACCCGAAGGACACGTTGTAGAATCCCTAGAGGAGACCATTGACCGATAACTATCGATATCGATAACTATAGCTGCATGCATTGTCTAGAGAGGTTACATATTAATTTTAATGGTACTTTACTCGTATTGCCGTCAATTGGAGTCATTTAGGTAGTCTCAGGTGTACCAGTGTTGCAGACTAATTCGCTTTATGCTAATGAACCACAAACAGCTTAATGCTGTTATAGCTGTGAGCCAACAATACTTTTAGATTTATAATTGTATTCAGATGTAAGTACACACAGCTTAGCAGACTAAAATTAAAATATTTTGTAACAAAATAGTAGCTAAGAGAACTTTTAGCTTTTCAGCAACAATAATACACTTCATTTTATTCGGTATTATTAAAGATGCAAATTCTGAAATTACTTGTGCATAGTAATAGCTACCCTCTAACGTTGGACTCACTACAGTCTAGCCAAGCAACTAGCTAATGAACCAGGGTTTATAAGGTCCCATTAAGGCCTTAATCCCAAACACTTTCAAACAGACAGTTGCTTCTGTAAAATTCATTCCATTGAGTGCTTCTACTAGCCAACAGTTATCCTGCATATTCCATTATAGGTAAGGCCTTGTCAGGGCGAATTCTACGCGCGTAGAATCATACGCGCGTTGGCGAGATACTAGTAGCCAATACATTGCGTCCACAAGACACGAGCAAGTTGAAAATTCGCGCGTAAATCATGTCATACATACGAGTAGGTACGCTCGTGTTCGCGCGAAGACATTTGCGGCGAATTTGCCCTCCTGGACAAGGTCTAAAGGTAGTGATGGTTAGAAATCTATAGTAACAGTACTATAATAGCAATAATGTAACTCTATCTGTAATATCCTGTAATGCATGTCCAAGCAGCCTCACCAATTTTAATAACTTTCGAATAAGTAGATTATTTTTTGGAAATGTTTCTAGTAAAATATTAAAGGTTTTCTTATCTTAAAAATATGAGATGAAACTTTTTACGAAGAACCATTTTCTAATGATACGAATAGCTCTATGAAAATTGATGTTTATGCTCTTGGTAATAAGTCAAAGGTTTTTACTTGATTTTGAAGCTAACTGTAATATTTTAGTACTATAATCTAAATTAAAAGGAGAAACTGACTGGACTTAGTGACATATCAACGCACAGCCTAAATGGCTAAAGGCACTTGAAATTTGGAAGGGACGTAGCTTAGGTACCGTAGAGGTGCACTAAGAAAGGAATTCCCGAAATTCACACGGAACGGGAATTAGCGGGAAAATCCTTTAGTATGAAAAATCTAAACCGCTTAAGTTAGACGCTTGAAATTTGCAGTTACCTTAGTAAACTTAAAGCTTAGTTACAACAGGATATTGCAAAATTCCCACGGAAACGAGAGTTAGCGGGAATAAACATTTGTATGAAAAAATCTAAACCGCGTAAGATAGATGAAGGGGTAACGGGATCCACGCGTACGAAGTCGCGGGCAGCCGCTAGTAGCAATATAAGATAGGTACCATGTTGTTTCATTTCATTGTAGTCTCTTTAACTACCTAATTACTAGTGAATTTCAGTACTTAAGAAGTAATGGTCTTAGTTTCTCTTTAGATCCAGTATTACATTGTGTATAATATGTTAAGTCATAGTAGGTAATACTATGTTGGTTTACCGCAACGAGGAACGAAAGAGGGAATTAATTGTTCTTGTTTGCTCTCGCAAAAGGTAGGGTTAAAAAGTCTTCCAAAAAATATTAGAATCTTTTGGGCAAAGTCCTTTGACTTTTTATAGGTAGGAGGTTTTATTCAGGGTGAATAACTTAATAAAGTTAGAAAAACCTACAGACACTTTTCATCATTTTATTAGGGAGATAGATTAAAGTTTGGAGAAGGGCCCTTAAATTAACACGGATGATGTTGTAAAATAGAAGTTATGGGGTTATGTGGATGTATCGTATTTAGAATTTTGAACCCAATGAGGGGTGTTAAAATGTTACATGTACACATAAGGTATTAAAAAAAAACCTTTCATTTCATAAGGCTTATAAAAAGCACTTTTACACCTCCCACTCGATGCACTCCTATCACAGCTTTGAGACAATATTCTGAGAAGAAGCAGTATAATCGTAGCTGCCTTCTAAAAGTAGCTATTTAAAAATAAATAGCGAAAACAAATGTCAAAGTGAGGTTACGATGAGCCAAAGTCATAGTTTATCCTGTAGTGATTACCTACAATTATTGTGATAAATAAACCAAACCATTCGATTAACCTTTAAAACTATTTCAATTTAAATGCCCTAAAATTTTAAATACCTACAGGGGTGATCATTATCTTCATTTGGAATCAGTGCCCGTAAAGTAATTGCGGTTTTATTACAAGATAGTTTCTTTTCGTAATTAAAATGTAACCGAGCAAAACCTTCGTTATTAATGATTTATGGTCGGCCCAGTGTTAATTACACAAGTTTGGGGTGTGGACTTCCCTTTGCCTTTTCGTCTTATTTACTTTTCATTCTCAGTTTACTTTTGGGTCCAGTTTTGTTTTAATTGGGACATCTTTCTTGCGATACTTTCACATTTACTATGTCATTTGTTTTTTCGGGTAACTACAATCAGTTTAACCTTTTATCGGTACTCTTGGCTATGCACTTGATCGTTTAGCATTCACCATCAAGTCCGCCAAGACTTCTAATGCAGTCCTACTCCGCGCAGAAAGTTACCTAAATCACCTGATCTACACTGACCCTGATGCATTTAATGCACAATCGGCCACCAAAATGTACACTTTTTCTTCTTTCTTAATCTTTTATGTGCTACTTTTATGTAACTAAGTACTTTCCTTTTTGACTTCGTGTGATCTTCATTGCAATAAATGTTTTAAAGAATCTTTTAAAAAAGTACGTAACGGGCGTCAAAGGTAAGGCCATACTGTGCCCGCATACTTGACGATAGCGTATAACGTTTGACTATGTCATTTCAAAGGGACTACGTGTATTGTGGTGTCAACAATTCTGGCAGTCAGTTGTATCCCACATGCATATGCCGCAGTGTGCTTTGAGTTGGCTGCCAAATTTGTCTTTGAGTAAGTACGAACAATAAAGATCATGACTGTGATATGCAATCTGCACATTAGACTAATGACCACCTAGATTTATGTTGCAAAATCACACCATAATCCGTGTGTTTTCAGACATGAAACAAAGTGATTGTTATAAAGTCTGCAGATTAGGGCTTGTTGTTATGACAGTAGAATTTGACATAGCCTTACTTTTAACTTGGAAAAATGAAAACAGTAGGAATGAGTTGAGCGCTGGTGGACGTCCAGATTGTTAGGGTAACGTTATTGCAGAGTCACCAGTTTTAACAGAACTTACTTAGATATAAAGTAACAACAAACATAAACCCAAGAATAGGAAACCGATATCGGAAAGATATCAGCGGGCCAATATACTTCCGGCGAACAATAAAACAACACTCGCACATCGATATTAACCACCAAATTGATTCGATAAAAGTCACCCTTATTGTTATTCTATATCGCCCTGTTGCTTTGTATGGCGCGAGTCACAAAAGAACGACCAAATAATAAGAGAGAAGTAGATAAATTATCTTAACGAAATTATGAAACCATACAAATGGCAATTGATTGTCGTTTTTTCCTTTACAAGATGGGAAGTTATAAAAATTTTTCTCCATCCATTAAGAGTGTTTACGTCTAGCGTGGCATGTCAAGTTTAGGTAATTTCGATGCTATTTTTATTCACACTAAAATAATTATGACTGTGTGCGTNTTTAAAAACAATAAACAAAACGCCAAACCCTTACAACATTTAATATCGAATTTA